ACCGTAAATATATCAAAACTTCAGTTTTGATTAGTAATACGCATTGCTAAGGACTTTATTTGGACAACTTTAAAGGCGATTTTCTCAATATTTAGATTTTTTTTTTTGCACCCTCAGATTCCAAATATTCAAATAGTTGTATCTCAGCCAAATATTGTCCTATCCTAACAAAGTTTATTTATTCAGCTTTCAGATGATGTATAAATCTCAATTTCGAAAAATTGACACTTAAGACTGGTTTTGTGGTCCAGGGTCACACATGTATACACACACACACATATGTATGCACACACACACACACATACATACATATACATATATATATATATAAACACAGAATGAAAGAATGTTAATTTGGGTGTATGGTTTTGGGAAACGCCAAATCATTACTATAACTAATGTAACTATGTTGGTAACTTGCAACTATAGTCGGCTAACAATGCTTTTGGGAAAAGCACCCCTAAAAGTTTATTTTAGCCCTAACATTTGAGTAAATTCTTTACATTATGGGAGTGGGTGGAAGTGAAATGCACACATTGTGGGAATGGGCAGTAATTGTCTGAAATTCAGCGGAGCAGGATTAAAGGGTTAGTTCACCCAACAATGAAAATTAGCCCATGATTTACTCATCCTCAAGGCATCCTAGGTGTATATGACTTTCTTCTTTCGGATAAATACAATCGGAGTTATATTAAAAATGTCCTGGCTCTTCCAAGCTTTATAATGGCAGTGAATGGGTGGTGAGATTCAATAGTCCAATAGAAGTCCAATAAAGCGCATCCATCCATCATAAGAAGTGCCTCACACGGCTCCGGGAGGTTAATAAAGCGATGAGGCGAATTGATGAGGTTTTGTTATAAAACTATCCATATATAAAACTTTATAAACTGTAATCTCTAGCTTCCGCTAACTGTCATATGAGTGTTCACGGTAAAGTGGCGTTCCAGCGGATGACGTAGGATGTAGGCGTAGCACAAGCTCCTGTGAGAATATGCTAGTCTTGCGAGACCCAAGTTTTGTTTACAGCAATGGTAAACCAGTCTCCTCTTGGCTTATATCAAAATCCTCTGACATTTTTCTTTACAAATCCTTGTTTTGTACTTCTAATTCATGACTGGTGTTTTGTTTTGCGCTCTCCTTTGTGCTTCCGCGTTCGTCACCTCTCACCGGCGCATGCACGATGCATACGTCCTACATCATCTGCCGGAACTGCATTCAATTGTGATTGCGTGTACGACAGTTACCGGAAGTGAGAGAAAAGTGTTTATAACGTTTTAAATATGCATACTTTCTTACAACAACACATCGATTCGCTACAGGAGGCCTTTTTTCACCCCCTGCAGCCGTGGGAGGCACTTTTTTTTTTTTTATTATGGATGGATGCACTTTATTTGACTTAGTTTGGACTATTGAATATCACCCATTCAATGTCATTAAAAAAGTTCTGGCTCTTCCAAGCGTTATAATTTAACTCCGATTGGATTCGTCTGAAAGAAGAAAGTCATATACAACTAGGATGGCTTGAGGGTGAGTAAATCATGGGGTAGTTTTCATTTTGGGGTAGTTTTAATTTTTGAACTATCCCTTTAAGTTTAATGTTTAACTCAAAAGAGCTGGTTAATTAAAAACAAATCTATCATTTATATCTAAAATATTAGAAAAATTGTGTCTTCTTAGCCGAATAACTGTTTTCATGAAGAACCTTGAATACTGAATATTGTTAGCTTCCATGTGCATCATACAAAAAGGTGATAAAAACAGCATTCATAGCTAGGGTTGGGTATCGTTTGAATTTTATCAATTCCAATTTCGATTCTGCTTATCGATTCAGATTCTTTTCGATTCCCAGTTTCGATTCCAATGTGATTTAAAAAATGATATCAAACATTTATCTTGTGTCTCTTTTTTCAAGCCATTTAATTGCTGCTGAATACCATGAACAAAAATCAACAGGCTACATAAAAACTGGACTCTTTAAGAGCTACGTGTATGCAAAGTAGAACTGCATGAATCTGGATAAATTTCGGGGTTTTTTTTCTCCTTTTTTTTCCCAATGTAAGTTGTGGTTCTCATGATTCTGAAGAAAAAACAATAGACAACTTAACAAAACCACATGTAATTTATGAATGAATGCTTCAATGATTCACTCAATATGTACTTGTTTCATTACTAAATGAATCAGCGTTTTTGAAAAAAATCTCTTGTATGATTCAAAGACAAATACATTTTAACAGCCCGTTTTTGCCACCTACTGGAGTAACAATGTAATCGATAAATCTTCATTTGAAGTGTCAAATTACTTTCAAAAGGAGATTTACTCTTATTTTAATTGCTACCGTACACATCAGAGTTTCTATCTGAACTATAAACTTTTATCCCAGTACTCCTGTAATTTGAATATTAGTAACACAGAAATAATGATACTGTGTGGTTGAAAAGACTGTGAAGCGGTTTCATTCATATACATGACAGCTGCTCTCTTCAGGTCAGTGGCAGTGCGAACGCAAATTTAAATGTTCAAATCACACTGATGTGATCGTACACTGCACGGACGAACCAAGCGACAACCTCCTGCTCTCTCTCGTGCAACCAACACGGAAGTGACTTAAACTGTAATTCATCAACTGGCCGCTAGAGGCTGGCTGAAAAAGGGAGTCAGTCCCATAGACTCCCCATGTTAAAATGCCCAACTTTACAGCAGAAAAAAACGTTTACAGTCTGGTACAAAAAGTGGTTTTGGTCTATATAGCTAATTTTGTCCTTCATGACAACTGTGAGGGGGGTGGATTTTTTTTTATAACTCATCCGTTTAAAATTATATTAAGCCTTAAAGTTCTGCATAATTAAGGGCGTGGCCACTTGAGTGACAGGTGGATTGCCGCTCTGCTCCACAAAAGGCAAAAGACCATAACTCGCTAGAGTGAAACTGAGAAAAAATGGCTTTAAAAATTTGCATTTGTCCAGAAAAATTAATTATGGGTAGGACAATGGAAATCTGGCAATTAGATGTTTTAATGAAATAGATCTCAAACTTGATTTTTACTGCTATTTTGAAGTTATTGTACTCTGCAAAAAGCGAAATGTCACACCAAGGCAAAAGACAGTAACTTCCACATTATATACAATATTTGGGTGCTGATCATCATCATTTACAGAAACATTATAGCAACATCTGTATAAAATCTGATTATATAACATAATAGTAATGTGATTCCCTTTTTTTTTTCTGACCGTAACAACCAGACAAACATCTAAACGTGAGTGGATACCGTTTTGCAACCAATTTATTTGCAATGTTCGCTAACATTAAAGGATGCAAGACATACTTATCCTATTGTTTTGACATCGAATTGAATGAAAATAGACTAACCTATAAGAACGACTTGTGCCAAGTTATCTAGTCAAGTGCTTTGTTATATGGAGCAGTTTGTTAGATCACAATCTAATTTGTTTGTCTAAAGAAGTGCCGACAGATAGGCTACATGAAAGTTACACCGTAATTTAAACGCGGCAGACTTTAATGGACAGTAAAACAAAGGCAGAATACCGTATAACTCCCAAGCTGGCACAGTAATATTGACAAACGGCTAAACAAATGCAGAGCACCGTAACTTAATTTAACTGTTCCAAAACAAAGTCAAAGAGCGGTAACTGATGTTATACTGTGTTCAGCCTTGGTTTCTCCTGGGCTTTTCTACAAGATACTTATACACATGATAAAGGAGGTCTTGAATGTCCCAAAATTATCAACAATAACTCATTTTCGATAAAAAACGAAGTTATGGAGTGTTGTCTTTGCACTGCAGCACTGCTGTCGAGTTTCAGCAACTAGCGCCTCAGCTTCACCCACGTCCCGCCTTTTTGCCCATTTTCGATTATCCGGTAGGGACACGCGGTGACACGCTGCCAAGATGGCGGCGGTCGGCTCCGCCAACTTTAGGCTTCAAATGGCGCTTTTCCACTGCGTTGTACGACTCAGCTCGGCACGGTTTGCGTTTCCACTACAGTTTAGTACCGCTTTAGAGTGGGAGGGATTATTCACATGTCGTTATAGTTGCGCCACCTCTACTACCACGACTCCTGAAAAACTTTTTCATTCCGCGTCGCCCCATCAAGCTCTCGCTGGATCCGCTCCTCTGCTATCATTGAGAGGAACGCCTGTTCTTCCGCAACAGACAACAAAACTTTTTGGTTGTTAAAAAAGGTGCGCTCGTTCAAAACAGTTGCGTTCGATCCTTCGCTGGCTGTGCTGATTTAAATCTAGCGGTTCTGTTGTGTTTGTGTTGCAAGTTCAGTGACGCAGGTAGTGACGATTCTCTCCGGCCAATCCGTGATCAGCAGAGTTTACATGTCACGTTTTGGTACCCCCCAAAAGTGAACCGTACCGAGCCGTACCATGCCGTACCATGCAGTGGAAAAGCGCCAAAAAATGCTCTTCAGAAACCTACGAGTGACGTCACGGACACTACGTCCATGTTTTTTTACAGTCTATGGATCGCACACGTGAAAGGTTAAGGAATGAAACAGACGAATGTAATTTAGGAATAGAATCACATTGGTGTTTGAATCGTGTTCGCGATCTTTAACGATCTATTAAATTAAAGCGCTTTGTCATGTTGGTGGTGACACCTCCCTTGCAACATGTTTAGCTTATCACAGATATTATACTTAGCTTTTTTTTGGCTTCTGATCACAAGTGTAGCCAGCCCTCAAAAAAAAAAAAAAAAAAAAAAAAAAGGCCACACAGGAATCGATAGGCGGACGATTCTGGAATTGGAATCGATTTTCGATTCCCAACCGTATTCATTGCATTTCTTTCTCAAAAGGAAAACGTATTTTATAAAGTTTTTTTCAATGTTAAACTAAATAATCGTTTTGTTTAGGCTACTTCTGTATTATGTTTTCTAATTTAATGTGTGACATGTCATTCATTTCTGTAGAGCTGGACATTTTATTAAGGATCAAATGACTTGAGTTCATCTTTGAGAATGAAAACCAACCTGTTTGTTCCTCAGTATCTTCTCGTTTCAGACTGAATACTTCTTCAATCTTCACGTCTTCGAACTCCTCCTTAATGAACGCCATCTTTGTTTGTTCCTCAGTATCTTCATGTTTGACTTCAGTCATCATGTCTTCACTCTCCTCTTTAATAAGCGACATCTTTATAATAGTGTATTATATAGTAGTGTCACCTGGATCTCAGTTGCTTCAGTAGGAGCTTTTTTCTATGTGTTTGGACACTCTGTCTTGTTCAAGATGAGAAAAATTACCAGAGAGAAAAATACATGCTGGCTTAATCAGCTCGTTAGTTCAGTAATCAGCACACTGGTCAAAGTCAAAGTGATAGTTAATGGCCTTAAATGAGCTGATTAGCCGGATTCATGTATTATTTAAAAAAACTAGCACAAGCAATTAAACTATCACAAAGTTCATATTTAGGTATTTATGATTTATATAGTTGGTATTTGTAGATAGCATGTATTATATCAGATTTTTGTTAGTGCACTAGTTAAATACAGGTTTGTAAGAGTTATCATCACATGTTTATGTTTTGGTTGTGTTTACATTGTGCGGACCGAATCACTGAATCGTTATGCGGACCGAATCACTGAATCGGTTCGCGAAGCAATTGATTCAATTGACTCCGAGTTTCTAAAAGCTCCGTTTCTCCATCACTTGCTCATCAATTCGTCTTTATGGTCAACTGAGTCTCACCTTTTCTGTTACTGATGTGTGGATGCGCTTTAATCGCACAAATAGCGCTCATGAATGTTAGATGAAGCACTGCAGTATTACATTAAAATAATAATTAATTTTACATGGCTTATTAAAAACCTATGAAATTGCTCCAACGGGTTGTATCTTCTTCTTTGGAATTTTTGGCGTATTCCGCACCGTAACGGGTTGAATCGATTTAAACACTTTGCTTTAAATGGCTAAAGAGACAAAAACCTTCATTCAGTCGAATTACAGCGCGGCGCGGCCGTATTACGTCATACCATCAGAACAAAATAAAAGTCCTAGTTAGTGCATTAAAAAAAAAGACAGAAAACGGAAAAAAATAAAAAGTTTTACATGTGGGAAAGTACATATTTAAATATTTTGTCCAGTGATGTTCTGAAAATAACTACCAATGAAAGATATAAGCCTGTGTGAGATTCTGTCTGAAAGGCAAAACTATTTATACCAGGGTTCGGAAGCTGTGTGAGATTCTGTCTGAAAGGCAAAACTATTTATACCAGGGTTCAGAAGAAGTGTATAAATATAGTAGTTTGATGCATTTTTAGAATGAACCACTGAAAAGTATTAGTTTATCACTAAATATAAAATGTTTGTCAACCAAATGTAACCTTTATTAGAGCAACACATATAAAAACATGCAACAATCATTAAGTAGCATACAGTGGTGTGAAAAAGTGTTGGCCCCCTTCCTGGTTTGATGATCTGAAACATTAAAGTGTGACAAACATGCAAAAAAATAAGAAATCAGGAAGGGGGCCAACTCTTTTTCACACCACTGTATATATATATATATATGAATTAAATATGGTTATTTTTCTTACAAAAATGCATCGATTCTCTACAGGAGGACTTTGTTCACCCCCGGAGCCATGTGAGGCACTTTTTATTATGGATGCATGCACTTTATTTAACTTCTTTTGGACTGATGAACTGCAACACCCGCTGACTGCCATTAAACTGCTTGGAAGATCAAAGAAAATTTTTTATATAACTCCGACTGGATTCGTCTGAAAGAAGAAAGTCATATACACCTAGGATGCCTTGAGGGTGAGTAATTTATGGGCTAATTTTCATTTTTGGGTGAAATAACCCTTTAAATGCAGGATGCAGAGAGCAAGGTGAAGAACAAAATTATTAGCTTTTCACAGGTGTAAGATGTCCTTGTCTTTCTAGCTGATTTCGTAAATATGCTCCCCTTAAAAACACGAATCAAGCATTTAAATTGAAGAATACTAAAAATGGATGGCACAGATGAAATTACACTGAATTATAAATAAGTCTGTCTTCTGTTAGGTTATCATTAAATGTTATTTTTATTTTAAATATCCTCAGTAGGTTTGACGTTATTTTACTGATAATCTATGGGAATTATAGTGATTAAAACTTTATTTTACAGTACTACTTACTATAAGACAAATAAGTGACTTGGGGAAGTCGTGGCCTAATGAACCCCCAACTGCTTCCTGGTCACCGCAGCATAAATGGCTGCCCACTGCTCCGGGTGTGTGTTCACAGTTTTGTGTGTTCACTGCTGTGTGTGTGTGTGTGCACTTTGGATGGGGTAAATGCAAAGCACTAATTCCGAGTATGGGTCACCATACTCGGCCACGTCACGTCACTTTCATTATTATTTTGTATTTTTTTTACTTTTTAAAGGGGTCATCGGATGCCCACTTTCCACATGTTGAAATGATTTTTTAGGGTCTTAATGAAAAGTCTATAACATACTTTAGTTAAAATCTCTCAATGGTAGTGTAAAAAACACCCTTTTTACCCTGTCAAAATCAGCTCTCTTTTCAGCACGCCGTTCTAGTCCGTGTTGCTTTAAATGCTAATGAGCTCTGCTGACCCCGCCCCTCTCTTCACTGGGTTTGACGTTATTTTACTGATAATCTATGGGAATTATAGTGATTAAAACTTTATTTTACAGTACTACTTACTATAAGACAAATAAGTGACTTGGGGAAGTCGTGGCCTAATGGTTAGAGAGTTGGACTTGTAACCCAAAGGTTGTGAGTTTGAGTCTCGTACCGGCAGGGATTGTAGGTGAGGGGAGTGAATGTACAGCGCTCTCTCCCACCTTCAATACCACGACTGAGGTGCCCTTGAGCAAAGCACCGAACCCCCAACTGCTTCCTGGGCACCGCAGCATAAATGGCTGCCCACTGCTCTGGGTGTGTGTTCACAGTTTTGTGTGTTCACTGCTGTGTGTGTGTGTGCACTTTGGATGGGGTAAAGGCAAAGCACTAATTCCGAGTATGGGTCACCATACTCGGCCACGTCACGTCACTTTCATTATTATTTTGTATTTTTTTTACTTTTTAAAGGGGTCATCGGATGCCCACTTTCCACATGTTGAAATGATTTTTTAGGGTCTTAATGAAAAGTCTATAACATACTTTAGTTAAAATCTCTCAATGGTAGTGTAAAAAACACCCTTTTTACCCTGTCAAAATCAGCTCTTTTAACTGCAATGTCGCTTTAAATGCTAATGAGCTCTGCTAACCCCGCCCCTCTCTTCCGAGGGGTGACGAACAGACTGTAAACTTTAGCTTTTAAACTAGCACATTATTAGGAATGGCGATTTTAAAAGATTAATTAAAAACCCTTATGCTCACTTCTGTAGATGAAGCTGGATCACAAATGATTCGCACGAACATAAACGCATTTAGGCAGATCGGGGATCGGCGCATTCCCTTCAAAAACTAAAGCAACGTTAATCCTCTGTGTCTTCAGTGGCTCAGATGTCTGGAGTAAATGACGACTGCTATGTTCATTATCACATCCAACAACAGAACACCTCAATTGCTTAATCGGAGACATTCTTGTCTTCCCCTGCACCGGAGTCAACACAATGGCGGACAGCTCACAGCTCACTCTGAAATTGTCAATCAACTATCATGGGAGGGGCCTGTGCAGAACTACGTCATTCTGCCAGGAATCTCCGAACAGTCTAGGGGTTTTAAAAGAGATTTTAAAAAAATCACTGGGTGGATTTTTATCATTATAGGGTGGATGTGTACACTAGGGATGTGTGCGATGACTAATTTAACGGTCGTTTAAACAGAAGTTTTGTATCTGACTAGTCGACTAGTCTAAAAGCAAGAAACCCCCAAACGATGGTAAGAAAAAAAAAAACTTTGTGCGTGCGTGTAGCCTATATAATAGCCTACATTTGATACACTTAATCTATGAATCACACTGTCAAATTATGCCGTACGCTTGCCTCACGTTATTATCATTTAATTTTAGGCAGTCTTTAAAAAGAAAAAAAAAGAAGAGCACACACTCAACGTCAGCCAATGCTTATTTATTAAAATCAGCTGGGGAAATGCAGAACAATGGAAAATCAATCAATAGCCTGACAGAATTCTTCATCTTCATATAACATTAGCCAACATATTAAAACACAAGTCAAAATTCTTCATCTTCATATAACATTAGGGTGACCATACGTGCCATTTTCCCAGGACGCACGATAAGAGTTTCAGAAAGCGCCTGGACATCCCGCACCACCACCGAAGTGGGTATTCGTTAGAAGAATAGATGGCGCGGATGGGATCGCAGCACCGACGGGTTGTAGTGAATGATGTGATTGACATTTGCTGGCTTTGGCCAGCCTCTAAGCTAACGCCTACATGCCTGTATTGAATATGATTACGCATCGCACCAGTAGAGTTATTATAAGCCAATTTGACATTACACAGTTTACACAAAAACTTTTCAGTTTCCTTCTAATTCAAATAATCCCACACCTTGCTCATCTTTCGCGTGGTTACTTTTGAGCTCGCCACAACTGACACGAAGAAAACTCATGTGAGGGCTGAGGTAAAAATGTAGTTTACGCCCAGATACACTTCTAAAAATAATGTATTATTTTTCAAATGTTTTATTTTAACTTGTTATTTAAAATGTTTTAAATGTAACAATGGTAATTTGATGGTAACATAAAATGATGGTAATTTGAATGATAATTATGTTTTTTTTTTTCTGTCGTGTAATCAACTATTGTTTTCGGTGTCGACTAGTAGGAGCTGTACCGTTTAGTCGACTAGACCCGCACATCCCTAGTGTACACACACTTCCAACACACATTTATGTTCAAATAACATGTAAAGTGAATTTTGCATCCGATGACCCCTTTAAAGTTTTACTCTTAATTTATTATTAGCGTGTAACTTCTATTATTAATATGCAATTATGGAATTTACAGACGCAGAATGACTGAGCAATAAAAAAATGAAATGTTATATAATAATGCTATTTAGTGTAAATATGTCATAAAAATTAAGACATTTGTTCTTGAATCACCAGGTCAGTCTCATTTTTTCACACCTCTCCACTACACATACAAAAAAACTAAACCCAGTTATTTACAGTCATTTGGACTGTAATTTCAATTCAAATTTCTAACATAATAGAAAAAGACTTAAAATTGGATGGGCTCAGTATTCATTCGTCTTCAGCATTTTTCAGTGTTCTTTTTGAGTAGCAATGTACAGTGTCAAGAAAAAATATGTAAACCTATTGGAACTGGCTGGTTTTCGGCATTAATTGGTTAGAATTTTTTTCTGATCTAAGTCACACAAACAAACACAATCATAATCATTCATGTCTTTATTGAACACATCCTATTTCACAATCACAGTGCTGTGGAAAAAGTAAGTGAACTTTCTAAGTGACCTGGATGATCCACAACTGTTTTCTGTTTTTGTGATCTATCTATCGCATCTCTAACAGTATTCAACCTTAGCTATACAACACCTAGAAGTAGCTACATGCTAGTTGTCACAAGTTCACCAGCTTTTGTCATCATGCCTGTCACAAGACCAGTCACCTCAGTGCACTACATTTCCCAGAATCCTCCCTGATTCACACCTGCTCACAGTCCACAATCACCGCACCTGTCTGCCATTGGCTTCATCAGTGGGCCTTTATAAGCCAGCACCAAGCACTCACACATCGTCTGGTCTCGTCTATTCTCAAAACAAATTAGACTTACCCCTTATTCTCACCTCAGATCACTTACCTGGACTATATGCAAGTTTGCGGTCTACACAGCCTTCTTCCCATCTGTT